CTGTGATAACAGTAGTAAGAGTAACAACTGTGATAACAGTAACAGTAACAACTGTGATAACAGTAGTAACAGTAACAACTGTGATAACAGTAGTAACAGTAACAGCTGTGATAACAGTAGTAACAGTAACTGTGATAACAGTAGTAACAGTAACAGCTGTGATAACAGTAGTAACAGTAACAACTGTGATAACAGTAGTAACATAACAACTGTGATAACATAGTAACAGTAACAACTGTGATAACAGTAGTAACAGTAGCAACTGTGATAACAGTAGTAACAGTAACAACTGTGATAACAGTAGTAACAGTAACAACTGTGATAACAGTAGTAAGAGTAACAACTGTGATAACAGTAGTAACAGTAACAACTGTGATAACAGTAGTAACAGTAACAACTGTGATAACAGTAGTAACAGTAACAGCTGTGATAACAGTAGTAACAGTAACAGTTGTGATAACAGTAGTAACAGTAACAACTGTGATAACAGTAGTAACAGCAACAGCTGTGATAAGAGTAACAATTATTTTTAGAGTAAAATTAGACTTGACACTTCTCTCTTCTTCTTGTAGTGTGATGGTGGGCATGATAGAGGGTGTGGAGAGAGCCTTCTGCTTGTCTGCTCTGGTGCGAGTTTGTAGCTAAATGATAAACAGTTGTGTTCCTAGCAGATATCCTGCTGTGACCTGTGACCTATGACTTACCTGTGACCCTTCTCGAGTACTTACTCTCGCAGTCCGCTCAGAGACTAGGCCTCCCTGTTGACTGTCTAGTCAACCAGGCTGATGGTGTGGGCGGCCCGCCGACCCACATATCATTCACAGTACGACGGCTGTAGTTGAGGGGCCATTGTTTCAGCAATATTTGTGAAAGCTGCTGGGAGCAGGTTGATAGAGTGTTCTCTTATCGTTCCCGTGGCTTCCCTGCAGATTTGAGACTAAGCCCTCCAGTATCATATGCAGATCAACCAGGCTGTGATGGATATGTGGGGCAGCGGGCCTCCAGTAGCAACAGCCTGGTTGACCAGGCAAGCACCAGACGAGCCTGGCCCATGGCCGGGCTCAGAGAGTAGAGAAACTCTTCAAACTCTTCAAAAGTATATATTTGTGTTTAACGTCGCAAAATTCTCTCGCCTTGTACTCAGAGAGTCCAATTCTTGTTTGCTGAGGACTTTTCAGTACTTTAATTGTTTCATTTTTTTTCTAATATACACTCTGTATGCTTCCAAGCTGTTCTCTCTCTCTCTCTCTCTCTCTCTCTCTCTCTCTCTCTCTCTCTCTCTCTCTCTCTCCTCTCTCTCTTCTATCTCTATCTCTGTTTCACTGTGAAAGTTGGTAGCAACACTGAGGTGTCTCTCAAGCGAGAGAACACAAGTGATGTCAGTAATGTTACCACTGACACTATTTTAATTGACAAATTAGACACATGTGCAACACTTGGGTACCTTTACTGAGGAAATTCTTCACTTTCCGAATCTTTAGACATGACTTTCCTTCCACATTTGGATTCGCCAAGTGTGATACCACCTACTTTCTCCCTCAATAAAGATACGCAAGAGTTGCACATGTGTCTAATTTATCAATTTGTCGGTTCTCTAAGCCATTTATCTACTGTTTTAATTATTTTATAAGCTCCCTTTATCTTATTATCCTGTTTTTCACGGCATTCATTTGGTTTATTGTGTTTTTCAGAAGGTAAACGAGCTGACATATTTTACCTAGGTCCTGCACTAGGGTGTTGTTATGCTGTGCGTTGATCCTTCTGTGTTGTGTATCGTTCTTATTAGGGAGGCCAAGGTCTTCTAGTCTCCATTCTCATGTTCTCCTCTACACTCTTGCTCTTCCTCTCTCACTTTTATTTGTCCTGATTCATCCTTTCACTCTTTCATTATTGCTTTTTCACTCTACCTCGTTACCACTCATATTCCCTACGACTAAGTCGATCTAACTTATTTCCTCTCTTTCATCACTGTCCCTGCTCTCTCTCTCTCTCTCTCTCTCTCTCTCTCTCTCTCTCTCTCTTCTCCTCTCTCTCTCTCTCTCTCTCTCTCTCTCTCTCTCTCTCTCTCTCTCACACTGTCTCCCTCTCTTTGTCCTTTATTATCTCCCTTTCGCTTTCCCTCACTATATCCCTCTCACTAACTCCCTCTCATTGTTCCTTATTATCTCCAACTCACTCTCCCTGACTGCCACCCTCTCTCACTCTCCCTCACTATCTCCCTTTCTCACTCTCCCTCACTAACATCAACAAAGCAACCTGATCCATTTTCAACGTTCTGCGAGTCATCAGCCTGATGCCTTTTGTCCTCAAGTCTCTCTCTCTCCTCTCCTCTCTCTCTCATCTCCTCTCTCTCTCTCTCTCTCTCTCCTCTCTCTCTCTCTCTCTCTCTCTCTCTCTCTCTCTCTCTCTCTCTTCACAGGGTTTGACAAGGTTAGGTTAAGGATTCCTAACTTTATTAACAAGCTAAGAGCTGTTACCTACATCAGCTCATTTGAAAGCATTTTTATTGTTATGAGACATACAAGTAGGGAACAGGATGAAGTTGGAGCCATCTGTGGGCCAACATTTTCATGTGATCAACTGACTTTATCTCGTTGACATCATTATGCTGTACGAATGTGTTCCATACTCGAGTCATCCTGGGTATATATGATCTCAGATGGAGTGATGTTCTGGAGAAGGGTACAGCCAGAGTGAAGTTGCTGCTGGCTGCCCGTCTTGTGGTATAGAAGCTTGCTTCTTTCTGTCCTCTCTCTCTCTCTGTCTCTCTGACCTTCCTGGCCCCTGCTGACCCATGTGTTCACAATTACGTGACCTCTGACCTGGCGTGACACAAACTTGTTTCTTTCCTTTGTTGTCAAGAAGAAACCGGCTGGTCATCTGTCAGTTATTTGGTCTCCTCACTTCCGCTTCCTCCGCTACTTTTTCTACTTCTCTTATTCTTTTCTCTTCTTATTTCTTCCTTTTCTTCCTTCTTCTTTCTCTTACTTTTCCCTTTTCTCTTTTATTTTTATATATTTTTTTAACGTCTGCTTTTCACTTCTTCTCCTCCTTCTTCTATTCTTAGGAAAGCACTAAACCGGTAGGAGCCATACACCCTCTGGTGTGTGTATTAGTTTATATATTGCTCGCGTTCTGTCTGTCTCTCTCTCTCTCTCTCTCTCTCTCTCTCTCTCTCTCTCTCTCTCTCTCTCTCTCTCTCTCTCTCTCTCTCTCTCTCTCTCTCTCTCTCTCTCTCACACACATACATCATTGCCTTGCCCCTCGTTGCATTCTTCTGGCTACCATACAATGCAGCTCCCCTAAACCTGCATTTTATATGGTTTGATAGCACCAGAATGAGGCAGGATAGATTTGATTGAAAATGGGTTGAGAGTGAGGAAAAAGTGTAATGGAAAGGAGGACGGGAGAGCAACAGGGAGAGAATAAAGAGAGGGAGGAAGGAAGGATGGATGGGAGGTGCCAGTGGAGAGGGTGGGTTATGGAGATGTTAGGCTAGCCTCTCCATCCTCCCCATCCTCCTCATCCTCCTCATCCTCCTCATCCTCCTCATCCTCCTCATCCTCCCCATCCTCCTCATCCTCCCCATCCTCCTCATCCTCCTCATCCTCCTCATCCTCCTCATCCTCCTCATCCTCCTCATCCTCCGCCTGACCAGTCAAAGACTCTCACACTGTCTGAGAAACACCGCTTCACAGGGAGGCTTTGTCCCCTGTCCACCCTGTGTCCACCCTGTGTCCACCCTGTGTCCGTTTTCCGTCACCCTCCGTCCACCCATTGTCCCTAGCCTGTGTCTACTTTTTGCCAGTGTCCATGCCACACACCCCTACCCCCCCCCCCCCCTTGTTGTGTCCACTAGCAAAGGGCCAAAAAGGGGGCAGATTAGTGAGAGAGGGTTGACGTAAATATGACGCGGTGGCCAGCACGTCTGAAGGCCACATGCAGCAGCAGCAGCTGCAGGGCCACAATACCTGCGGCCAGCCGTTTTTTTTTTCTCTCCTGTCGTGGTCTTGTCGTGGTCGTCGTGGTGTATTCTCCCGGAAACTACGTAATGGAAGTGAAGGCCGAGACACAGCGAGTATGATAATAAAGAGAGGGAGAGAGTGAGAAAGAAGGAGAGAATAGGGATGGAGGGGAAAGGGGTTGATGAAGGAATGGGGGAAGCCCGGTGTTCCATTGCAAAGGAATGGGTATGCGAAGGGACGTTAACTGCAGTCTCCTATCTGCCTTAAGCTAACAACAACAGTCTAATAACTCATACAAACACAACTCATTGTAATGCAGAGAGAGAAAGGTAAAAGAAAAAGGTATCCTCCCCCTCACACGGGTTTAGCGCTTCCCCGAAGCGCTAAACCCGTGTTAGGGGTCTTGCAGTGCAATGAAATGTGGAGGCTAGAGTCGTCCTGGAGCTCTGTGTTCAGTCAAACTGTTGCTGCTAGTCTGGAGAATATATATATATATATATATATATATATATATATATATATATATAATATATATTATGTTTGTGTGTGTGTGTGTGTGTGTGTGTGTGTGTGTGTGTGTGTGTGTGTGTGTGTGTGTGTGTGTGTGTGTGTGTGTGTGTGTGTGTGTGTGTACTTCATTATTCTGTCCAAATGGTTTATAATGGTTTATAATGGTCCATTTTATGATTAGTATTTTTAATAATTGGTCTATTAAATAATTCACTTAGTATCTGGTTCATTGTATAATTTGTGTTATAACTAATTCATTTATTTGGTGGTTCATTACATAACTGATTCACTTAATTGGTTCACTTAGTCAATCATTCGTTCATTTAGTCAATCATTGTTTCATTTAGTCATTGGTTCAGTCTTTAAGTGACTGTTACTGTGAACTTAGAGTCACCTTATGTATTATCCTAAACAGCGCCTCTACTGAACAGCTCACAGGTAACAGATTACCTTTCAGCATCCTGTAGAGACGACTGGCACAAGATGACGTTTACTGACGTTGACGTGTTCCTTGCCTTCCCGCAGGTGGCCAGCGAGCAGGAGGCGGCGCTGCAGATGCAGCAGGAGGCGCTGAGGAAGCACCAGGAGACCCTGCAGCTCCTGCAGCACCACAACACCCTTAAGACACTGCAGGTAAGCACCAAGCTTCGTGGAGTAGCCAGTTTAATCGTGTCTCAAAAGAGGGAAGCATAGTCTGGGCAAATGGGGTTTATGCGAGGAAGACAAAGGGGGCTTTGCCCCCCTTCCCCCACCTGGTACGAATTTTTCAGGTCAACAGATTGTGGGTTAACTGTGAATTATTGTAATTAAGGCACCTGTGATGTGCCCCACTGTTCCGAAGATTCCAATTAGGGTCGAATATTAGACAAAAGACATTGGTGATTCTTGAGACAAGGTCGAATATTCGACAGGAAGACATTGATGACTCAAAAGAAAGAGAATTTAAAGTTTTTTGATATTCGAGGCAAGACAAATAATATTTATCCCATAAATCAAACAAAAGCAACAATAACAATAATTAAAAAAGAGCAATAGTAACAACGACAAAAACAACACAAGCTTCATCGACATCATCAACAACAACAAATAACATTAAAAACAACGACAATATCAAGAACATCAATAGTAATAATAGCACCACCACCACCAACAACAACAACAGTAGCAACAATAGCAACAAACAAACAAACGAAAATGGTTTACAATTCCAGTCACGGTGGCAAAGAATCACAACACTCTGGTTTAAATGGTCATAAATCTCGAGCAGTGGTTCAGACGCTCGTAAAATGATATCCAGTTTGAGATGAACGTCTTACTCCAGGCTTCAGAAAGACTCTTCTGAAGACTCTAACTGGTCACCTTCAAGCTTCATAAATTCTCTTCTGAAGCAGTCTAACTGGTAGTTCTGAGGCTTCATAAATCAGCTTCAGAAGTCTAATTGGTAGCATTGAAGCTTCATAAATCAGCTTTAAAAGTAGTCTAACTGGTAGCTTTGAAGCTTCATAAATCACTTCTGAAACAGCTTAACTGGATGGTTTGGTTGCTTCGGAAAGCTTGTCCCTTTCCCTGCAGGAACTGCACAACCATATATACTCCGTGAGGTGTCTGTCTGTCTCAGTATATAATATATATATATATATATATATATATATTATATATATATATATATATATATATATATATATATATATATATATATATATATATATATATATATGCTTGAGAGTTTATTCTCATCCCTATTTTAGGGTTTAAAATATTCTTACCCGGTCGTGGGCAGGTAACGTTAATAGTATATGAACTGCTCAAGCAAGTACACAGGTAATGTGGCGCCTTTAAAGACACTTGTATAGTCGATAGGCTTTAAACCCCATTAACTAACCTAATTTCTCCTCTTGGTACTGAGGTATTCTTCACTGGTGGTGATCACATGACATAAACAGAGCTTATGTTTGCTGCTATCTCTGTATTACGAATTTAAAACGTCAGTGGCGACACGTCTCCTTCAGTGTTTTGACGGGGCCCATGTGTTTTTATTCCCGCAATATGTATACAGCTGTCTCTTGTGTAGTATGCATAAACACAGCAATGTGTATAGAACTATGTATACCTGCGATTGGATTGACCTCAACCCCAGCTTAGTAATAATAATAATAATAATAATAATAATCTGAGCTGCAGTAAGGACGCCCCTCTGGCGAGACAGTGATGGAGTGATTGTATAAGCGTTTCTTCTTTTTTCGTGTCACCCTGCCTGGGTGGGAGACGGCCGGTGTGTTAATAATAATAATCATAGCAATAATAATAATAATAATAATAATAATAATAATAGCAATAATAATAAGAAGCGTAAAGCCTCTCTGTTGCTAAATACCGAAATCCCATATGACACGCAGCAGTATTCGACCATCTGCATTGATCCGCAAATTGACACGAAAGCGGCACCACTTTGCTTTAAAATCCAATTTCCTCCTGGTTGGCCCGGAACGATCGATCGCTATTTTATTTCCCAATTTCCAAAGTACAAATTTCCCCCCCTCAATTCCTCTGGATTGTACCGCTCCTTGTTCCGTGGCGTTATTATTGTCTGTCAGTCGCATTACCGGGGCCAATATTAGATTGTTTGGGCGGTGTTACTGGGAGACTGACTGGGAGTTGTTACTGGGAGACTGACTGGGAGTTGTTACTGGGAGACTGAGTGGGTGACATTACTGGGGGAGATTGACTGGGAGACGTTACTGAGAGTAAATCTTTGATGCTTAAACACCGATTATTAATATTATTTTTCTAGTTCCAATTCCGCGGATCGAGAGCCTTTTACCGGCATCGAGAAGTCAAAATTCTTAGAAAAAAAAAGGATCGTGGATTCCTTTGTTTACATTTGCCAAGAAACATTGCATCCTGGGAAATATTATTCGTCCTTGCAGCGATAAATATTTCCCAGGATAAAATCTACTCGTCACTCGTCTTGACAGCAGATAAAATCTACTCGTCACTCGTCTTGACAGCAGATAATAATACATTAATACACATTCCATTGCCATTTTCCACCTCCGGAGGAAAAAAGGGATCGGAGGCAAGAATAAAATATAAAAAGAATACGTAGAGAGGATTTGGGAAAATCGGCCATTCATGGCTACGACAGTTCAAAATGGCATTTGTATTTTTGATTCCTGGGCAGCGTTCGAGTATAAATGAACCCGTGCAAATGAAGCTGTCTGTCAGGAGCGGACCTGTGCTGTCAAGGATGGAAGATCCGTGCTGTTAGGGATGGTGCATTCGTGCTGTCAGGGATGGGGGACCTGTGCTGTCAAGGATGGGGGACCCGTGCTATCAAGAGCTGGGGGACCCGTGCTATCAAGGCTGGGGGACCCGTGCTATCAAGGGCTGGGGGACTCGTGCTATCAAGGGCTGGGGGACCCGTGCTATCAAGGGCTGGGGGACTCGTGCTGTCAAGGACTGGGGGACCTGTGCTATCAAGGGATGGGAGACCCGTGTTATCAAGGGGTGGGGGACCCGTGCTATCAAGGGCTGGGGGACCGTGCTGTCAAGGACTGGGACCTGTCTATCAAGGATGGAGACCCGTGTTATCAAGGGTGGGGGACCCGTGCTGATCAAGGTGGGGGACCGTGCTGTCAAGGACTGGGGGACCTGTGCTATCAAGGGATGGGGGACCCGTGCTATCAAGGGATGGGAGACCCGTGCTATCAAGGGCTGGGGGACCCGTGCTATCAAGGGTTGGGGGACCCGTGCTGTCAAGGGCTGGGGGACCTGTGCTATCAAGGGGTGGGGGACCCGTGCTGTCAAGGATGGGGGACCCGTACTGTCAAGGGCTGGGGGACCCGTTCTGTCAAGGGCTGGGGGATCCGTTCTGTCAAGGATAGGGACCCGTGGTGTCAAGGATGGGGACCCGTGGTGTCAAGGATGGGGACCCGTGGTGTCAAGAATGGGGGACCCGTGCTGTCAAGAATGGGGGACCCGTGCTGTCAAGGGCTGGGGGACCCCAGCTGTCAAGGGCTGGGGGACCCGTGCTGTCAAGGGTTGGGGGAACCCAGCTGTCAAGGGCTGGGGGACCCGTGCTGTCAAGGGAGAATATGGCAACGCAACGGATCCTTCGCATATTGTTGCAGGGATCCCAGAGAATGGTCCTGCAGAGAGGTCTTTGTGGTACGAAGGAAGATGTTACCCATTTCAACCCCACTGGTGTTTAAACTTACTTTCTTAACCCACTGTTTTCATGATGGTGGTGGGTTACGGTGGTGATGGTGGGTTATGGTGGTGGTGGTGGATTATGGTGGTGATGGTGGGTTATGGTGGTGATGGTGGGTTATAGTGGTGGTGGGTTACGGTGGTGATGGTGGGTTATGGTGGTGGTGGGGGGTTATGGTGGTGGTGGGTTATGGTGGTGATGGTGGGTTATGGTGGTGGTGGTGGGTTATGGTGGTGATGGTTATGGTGGGGGTGGTGGTTATGGTGGTGGTGGTAGGTTATGGTGGTGGTGGTAGGTTATGGTGGTGGTGGGTTACGGTGGTGATGGTGGGTTATGGTGGTGGTGGTGGGTTATGGTGGTGATGGTGGGTTATGGTGGTGGTGGTGGTAGGTTATGGTGGTGGTGGTAGGTTATGGTGGTGGTGGTAGGTTATGGTGGTGGTGGTGTAGGTGGTGATGGTGGGTTATGGGTGGGTGGTGGTAGGTTATGGTGGTGATGGTGGGTTATGTGGTGGTAGTAGGTTATGGTGGTGGTGGTAGGTTATGGTGGGGGTAGGTTATGGTGGTGGTGGGTTATGGTGGTGATGGTGGGTTATGGTGGTGGTGGTAGGTTATGGTGGTGGTGGGTTACGGTGGTGATGGTGGGTTATGGTGGTGGTGGTAGGTTATGGGTGGGTGGTAGGTTATGGTAGTGGTGGTTACGGTGTGATGATGGGTTTTGGTGGGTGGTGGGGTTAGGTGGTGATGGTGGTTATGGTGGTGGTGGTAGGTTATGGTGGTGGTGGGTTACGGTGGTGATGGTGGGTTATGGTGTGGTGGTAGGTTATGGTAGTGGTGGGTTAGGTGGTGTGGTGGTTATGGTGGTGGTGGGTTAGTGGTGATGGTAGGTTATGGTGGTGGTGGTGGAGGTTAGGTGGTGGTGATGGTAGGTTATGGTGGTGGTGGGTTACGGTGGTGATGGTAGGTTATGGTGGTGGTGGGTTACGGTGGTGATGGTAGGTTATGGTGGTGTGGGTTACGGTGGTGATGGTAGGTTATGGTGGTGGTGGGTTACGGTGGTGATGGTAGGTTATGGTGGTGGTGGGTTACGGTGGTGATGGTAGGTTATGGTGGTGGTGGGTTACGGTGGTGATGGTAGGTTATGGTGGTGATGGGTTACGGGTGGTAATGGTAGGTTTAATGGTGGTGGTGGTTACGTGGTGATGTAGGTTATGGTGGTGGTGGTTACGGTGGTGATGATAGGTTATGGTGGTGGTGGGTTACTGGTGGTGATGGTAGGTTATGGTGGGTGGTGGGTTACAGTGTTGATTGGTAGGTTTATGGTGGTGGTGGGTTACTGGTGGTGATGGTAGGTTATGGTGGTGGTGGTAGGTTATGGTGGTGGTTGGTTACGGTGGTGATGGTGGTTATGGTGGTGGTGGGTT